TACCAAGATGTTGTAATTTTTATATTGGGCTTGAACTCGTAAGTTAAGACTTCAGTTCTTTGTAACACAAAATATAGATATATTTATTTGAGTACGTAATAATATTCATCCAAAATGATGATCACGACCACACGTTGACTATTGATGATCGTAATTTTAGATAAATGATATTCTTCATTTATTTTGGTAAGATACTTTGAATATACTGCAAATAGGTGGAGTGGAACGATGAACCAGACTAGATCATTGGTTCGTGTTGGATTGTCTACCGGCAATTCACATGTAGATTCATTCAACTATCTCACTCAGAACAATTTTTAGTTTGTTTCATCGAATTTTCGGACTTTGTTTAGATTGACCAGTTTGGTACCATTTTATAACTATAGCATCATATCCTATAATATTAAAATTTTATTTTATGAACTATTCAATCTAGTTTCAGTTTTTCAAGCGCATTACGAGCAGTGGGTTGAGCTTTTTCAGCAGAGATTCTTATAGTAGGGTAGTTTAGAAGTACAGAATTGAATAGATTTACAATACCTTATTCCCTCTTTCTTTCACAATAACTCGAAGAGAAGCCTATTTAACATTGTCGAGAACGAAACTTACCAAACGGACGTAAAAGGATTCGAACCTCGGAATCAGAGCACCGAAACCCGTACCCTTTAGCAACTAGGGTGAAATTTATTGAAACACCGGAAGAAGCCGAGGGCTGCATCTCTCGCTTCTTCAGGAGGTGGTATCGTTGGAGTTAGTGGCTCAAATTCTGCTTTCCAATGAGCAATACACTTTTCACTTTCTTTTCTTTTGATAGGAATGAATGAAAATATAACTCTGTATGGATCATACATCTTGATCAGGTCGCCTCCGATGACTCGGTCGGTGACAGACCGTCCTTGTTCGACAATCTCTATCCTTTCGGTAGACTCTTTCACATAATTGCTAAAAACTGCATCAAATTACATGTTAAAAGTGGCATTAATATTATTTTCTTTAGAGTTAGTAGTGTCAAAACAGCTTGATCAGTTTAAACTGGCCCGCAAAACAAGAGGACTGGTTGGCTCTGTACCGGAACCAACCTAGTTCCTTACACATTCTCGGCCTATCCAAAACCACGGACTAAATTTTAGGTCCGTTATGGTCCATCAACCTGTCGAGGGCAGTCTAGGCCGAACCCTTTTTAATTAGAAAAGTAATGGTGTTAGAATCTGGACAGTCCCACCCATTTTTACGTGGGTGGGTGGGGGAGATATTTACCGGGACCGAGCTTCAAAAGCCTGAGGCTTCCTGAGTTGCCATCATCTTCAATATATTCAGCACTAGCAAGCATATCTGGATTTATTGTGCTCAATATTTCATTATCCCTATATATTTGCCATACTTTCTTAGCAGGGATGTTGAGGACAACGTCTGCTTTCATGTTTCTCATCTCTCTCACTCTCCACTCTACTTTTTCGTACCTCAGTTCGGTAAATGAAACTTGGCATTTTAAATACAAAACACAGACCACGAAATTTAATAAACTAAGGAAGATATATTAGATTAAGAAATAGTAGGTTCGAAAATTACTGGTTTTATTCCCCCATGCTTAGTGCCTACAAGCTTTTGGCATCTTCCAGCGACTAAAAAATATTAAATGTTGGAATTGCCCGTTATATTATACCTTCTCCACTTGCTCTGGATGTAAATCTCTTCTTGCAATTCTCACAAAAGCAACACTGGAAGACCAGAAGCTTCTTTTGTGGCTCTAAGGCCTATAAAGCCATCAAAACTCACTTTATTCCCACTACTTAAAACTTGAGGACCTGAATTTTGTAAACTAAAACAGACGAAAAGATATAGCACTTACATACTCTGAGTACTAATTTAGGTTCTGGGTGGAATGGGGATTATTAAATTTCTTCAAGATGTGGTAAGAAATGCTTGCAAAAGATATTCCAAGATGAGACGAGATTCCTTTTTGGAAAAGTGATCGTTCATCATAATGACTTGTTCGTAATGGGAGATGGATAAAAAAGGGGGGAACTTCAGCTGGCCTCATCGTGCTTTGAAATTAGTGATTTGTTTGAGGTTGTGGTGGTGCTCATGGTTGTCGATTTGAGCTGGTGGTGGCGATTTTAGGTGGTGCCTGCGGTGGTGGTTGTGGATTCAATGTGAAGGTGATGGATTTGAGATAAAAGTAGTGGATTTGACTTGGTGGTGGCTATGATTTTGTGGTGTTAGCGGTGGTGGAGGTGAGGTAGGGTGAGTCTTTGACCAATTAATTGAGTAATTTTTGATTAATAAATAATTTTTGACATATTAAATGTGTTATTTGCAACTACACAGGCGGTTGTAGCCAATTAATTGAATAATTTGTGAGTAGTAAATAATTTGTGACATATGAAATGTGTTTTCTTACTAAAATACATGATTATGACCCACAAAATTTTATATTTATAACTGTGACCTTGATTTGTGATTAGCATGCAACCATGACTATAAATTGTGTGTTATTGTGACTACGACATATTTAATTAAATTAAAAGTCACAAAATTTTATTGAAGTCATAGTATTACCACCTGATTTTTGGGGAAAAAAAATTCCATCTTCTATACTCCAGATCATAGAGTCTGAATCACGCGGGCCGCTGCATTTTTCTTCTATAATACACATCTGCAGTAGTTATCATTTCTTATTAAATGCAACGACGGTTGTGTGTATAGAAAGTTGAACCGCTTCAGCTGTTTTTCCTTGAAAACGTATAAAACAGTAATTCATTTGGGCGCAATAATTAAGGACGCCTCGTGTTCATAACATTCCAACAAACACGCCTCTTTAAAATTATTACACTACAGCCTCAGCAATGAGACGAAGAACACTACCTCGGCCTCAACATGGATAGCTTCGACAAGGCTTCAGAGATACAAACCACTTCGAAGCCAACAACCTCGAACAAAAGAACCTCAGCTGGTGCTCTCCAACCTTTTCTAAACAATTAGAAACTTCAAAGTACACAATTTCCAATAACACCTTCGATAAGTACCTCAGCCAATTCATGATAATTCCACTTTCAAATTCTAATTATAATATAAATATTTATATTCAGACTTGGGGGCTATGGTTAGAAATAACCACCCCAACAAAATTTTTATTTTTATACATAACAGAAGTTCGTGCATTATATAAATAATCAAGCATAGACTTGAGGGACTATTGTTATGCATCACCACCGAGTCTCCTATGGAAGCCATGCCGCAATCCGTGTGAAGATATTGAGTCAAATCTGACAAAGTCAATAAAGACTTGATTAGTCAAAATATAAAAGTCGAAGAAGAAGCTAATCACATTGTTTCAAAGTCCTTGTATGGCCGAAGCTCTATCTTTACTTGAAGCTTTTTTAGGCCAAAGTACCCTCCCCGTTCAAAGCTCTCTTTCAGGCTGAAGCACTTGCTGTCTTCGAAGGGATCTGCAGACGATCTCTATAAATGATTGATGTAATATTTATATTAATGAATGTCAGGATGTCAGCTTAGGATGTAGGGCGGCTGACCATTGTCAATGTATTAAATGTATAGCAGGCAAAGTGATAAGAGGCTTCGATCTGAAAGATAAGGCCACGTGGTTTCGATCCAACGACTGTCACGTAGGATAGAACTCTCTATATATAAGCAACTCTCTATATATAAGCAACTCTTGTAATTCATTAAGAATAATGAAACTCTCGACACTTGAAGCTACACTCAGTTTTCTCTCTTGCTCATTTCATATTTATTTCCTTAAGTTTAAATTACTTTTATTTTGGTTGAATTGTTTTTGATTGTTTGTTTATACGTAATCAATTTTTATCATATTGAAGTGCAGCATTGTCAAAAAGATCATATGTGATGACTATAAGAGAAGGTCAAAAACCGAACATAACAAATGAGTCTCTTCCCCTTAGAATATGGCATTCGTCGTCATGGAAAACTGAAAATGGCGACTTGTTTTTGTTGTGACAATATAATGGTAAACTTTGTTAGTCTAAAAATATCTCATTTAAGAGAATGCTCGTGTTAAAAAAAATACCAAAAACTTTTGTCACACGAGAGTAAATTCTTTTTTTTTCCCAAGTCCTTCATGAATTCGTCGATCTCAATGAATTACCAATTCCATAAAACATTCAAGATTTCGACGTTCATGAAGGTAGTCATCCAATTGATTTGGATGATGTTGATGTTGATCCTAGTATTCCAATTGATTTGGAACAAGATGAAGAACCTACATTAAATATTCCCGATACAAGAGGAAAGAGAAAGGGGAAGAAACAGGCAAAGTGTTGGGACCATCACTGATTGTGTGGTCGATGGACTTTCAGAAATCAAAACAATATGTAAATACTGTCAACAACGACTGACATGACAAAAAGGCATTGGAACCACCCACCTACGTAATCAATTTTTATCATATTGCCAATACTGGAACATTTTTGTCACACGTCATAGAGCATCTCTTACATTTATAAATGCCATCCTTTTTCATCCAAATCTCAGGTCAAAACGTGTTGAAATTTACTTGTGTGGATGTAAATGAACCTGACATCTATTGTCCACGTGATCATTACGAAAAAGAAGGTCAAAGCCTATGACTATTGCTTGAAAGATTCGTTGTCCTATTTGACTGTTCAAAGATACAAGCTATTACTTGAAAGAATTGTTGTCCCATTTGGCTGTCCGCATCCCTAACGTCATCCTCAATCAAACTTTTGTCCAACCCGAAAATTAAATAGTGGAGTAAAAGAAATTAGGGTCCGTTTGATTGCAATGGTGGAAAATAAGTGGAAAGAAAATATTTTACAGGGAAAAAATTTACTTAGAAAATATTTTACAGAGAAAATGATTTCAAGTATGTTTAATTGGTATAATTTTCCATCCGAAAAATTTTTAAATTTTTTATTTATTTGACTTTATTTCACATGGAAATTGTCCATTAAAGTGATTTTTTTTTCCACAATTGGTTATAAAATTTGTTTCTATTGCCACAAAGTAAAAAAAGGGGAAAAAAAATTTGTTTCCTAAAAAATCATTTTTTTTTTAAGAATGGCACCACAACAAATCTTTCACTTCAGATTCGTCCGGTTCTTGAATTTTTTTTTTTATGGAAGACGCACTACCATCTCAACAACAAAACAAATCAACTCACGTTTTCAAAAGGATAAATTCCTAAACTTGCATGAAAAGATCAGTTACTGTATGAAAGTAATTGAATAATCTGGCATCAAATATAACAAAATTCAAGCTATAGCCCAGTTCCCCAAAAAAACAAAGAATAACAAAATTTGCACAATGTGTAAAGCTATTACACATTATATTTACTCAGGAAAGATACAGCAAAGGCACATTACAAGAATCTCTAAACGCAGTATGAAAACAATTGGCTACTTCCAACAATTAGAAAAGACGAAGCAGATGGCAAGATGAAACATATCAGAATCTTCTGCTTCTTTGCTGAATCAATGAAAAGAAAGTACGATGATGCCAATATATCCACATTAGAACCTCTACAAACCAAAATACATTTACAGCCTTGATGTTCTGCATCATATCTTTTCCATGACGGAACTGTCAACCTGCAAACATGAATTGTTTCTCTATAAGAAACACAACGTAAAATGTACAAAGAATAAATAATAAGATGAAAACAGAAATATTACTCAACACCATTCAAAACAGGATAATAATCAAGATTGCTATACCGATGCTTCTAAAATACAGCTTCTGATACCAAACCCCACATTGTAAACAGGCAAACTGCCTTCACGGAAAAGTAATATGGACAATGGCCATATGAAGTTCCCTTCCATGCTAACTAACTACTAAAAGAAAGATTAATTCTTTATTCTAATTTTGGTGTTGAATCTTCTTTCATTTAAAAAAAACAATAATATTAATAATTTGAAGCAAAAATTGACAGTTTGATGATGTGTTGATCAAAAATCATCAAGAAAAACAGCACAGAGGAGAACGTTTTTGTGTGTACTGTCTTAGACTCCAATTGTTGAGTTTTAGCCTTCTAAAGTCCTAAACACTCAAAAGATACTACTTTAGCTTTTAATTATCCCATCATCCTTAATAAACAATACATCTCATGAATACTGTTCTATTTAAAATTGTCCTTGACCTTCAATAGTATGTACTAACTATGATCACTAACTACATAAGTTACCAAAAAAGCTACGAAATAGTATTTCATAATTAAATTAACAGGAAAATTGAAGTGTTTGATATATATGAGTGATTATCATTATTTCTGCTGTAATCAGCATGCGTTCAATGAATCCATATATGATTTCTGGAACCTCCTCTACGAAGCAATGAGAAACCAGTATGCTCAGAACGGTCCTTAAATTCTAAATATATAATAAAACCTGGCATTCCTTTAGCCTTATACTCACTTTCTTGTCTTATTCATGAGTTGTGCCCATTACTTCGTAACCACATCAGTTCCAACTAAATAAGTCAGCAAAGATTGTTGTCCACTTAAAGTTGGCTTTCAAAGTCAAATTAAAAAAATTACCTAAACATACTTCCATATTCACAATCACATATTTTTTTTCTGGTGGTAATGAACGAGCTCAAGATAACTTATAACGGTTCACCTAACTACAAAATGCAGTTTGGAAATTTCAGCAACTTTTTTTGTACATATTAAGTTTATGAAGAGAGGTTCATTGCACTTAATTCAGCAAATGGAATCATACCCAGCATACTATGGTTCTATCTTTAGCCCAGTAAAGAAAAAACAAACTTATTTCATTCTACATTCAAAGTATATCTTGCAAAAGTACCAATTTATCAAAAGAAGAGACATATCCAAGAGAAAAGATAAGGAAATGTCAATCAGCAGCAAAAAGCAGCAGCTGCGACTTACCAATAAATTCAAACTGCGATGTGTACTCTTATGACTAAGAAGAACTTCTCCCATAGTACTGGAGAGAATAAAGTACAAGAGTATTGAAACTAAACTTCAAAATTGAGAGAAAAAATTATGGTTTCCTAGTAGTATCTATAATCATAAATCATAAAACAAAACAGATAAAACTACAGAACACTGGAAAAAATTCGACCTAGAAAGAGGATATACAGAGTAGTGGAAGAACCATCTAGAAAAAGAAAAGCTGCAGCATTAATTTTAAATGATTTGAGTATTGTAATTGTCCCATGCTCAATGTGATCAGGAGGCATCATATTTATGTAATTATTAAAAAATAGTGTCATTTTGATACCAATATGTTATATTTATGGAAGGATAAATGGTGAAGTACCTCATCTCACAAATCAGCCTTAGGTTTCTTTCCTGTCACAATCTGGGAAATGTGAAGACCCCTGCTAAATGCTTGATTGAATAAAATCCTTGTCTGCATGTTTTGGAACCCAGGCAACCACGATAGAAGGGCAACAGGTGCCATAATTATAACTCCAAACATAATGTCATACAGTCGAGATACAGAAACAATGGTCTCCCAGAGAGCTGTTTTCTCCAAGAAGGGCTGCAGGACTTGTGCAATCAAAATAATTCCCCACCCAGTTGGAATGAAAGCCAATAAACTCGTGAAGATATCCAGAAATTTGAACCTTGTAAACTCCAGCAAAGCAGCAATCACAATTCCTGCTAGAATAATAACAAGGAACTGAACCAGGCGGTAGTATATGTGCTCTTTCGCAGCATATTTGTCCCGAGCATTAGCTAATAGTACACTAACTCCAAGAGCCACAACCACATAAATCCAGGAAAGCAAGTAAACAGCAATGCTTTTGCTTCCAGCCGCAATGCCCAACTGATACACAATCCCATACTGGAAAAAGAAGAATCGGAGGTCCAAAATTATTTCAAGTACCTTTCCCCAAATACCAGTTGTCCTTAAATGATCTTGTTCTTCATACCACCACTTTTCCCAGCTCTGTTCAGGTTTTGCAAACACACCACCCTGGTACCATATCCAGTTCATAAAATCATCAAAATCGTGAACAGCTTTTAACCAATCAAACCCCAGAGGATTAAAAATGAAGGGGGCCAATATCCAGGAAACTACTAGAAACCAACTGGTGATGGTCAATGCTATGTACACAAAAGTTCCTGTAGCTACAGGGCTGTAGGAAGCATATACGGTGAGAATTAGTCCAAGCTCAATAGCCTTCACAAAGTGACTACGGGCATATAATCTATAGTTTTCAGCAAAACTCTTGTGCTGCACGACAAAACCACGACCAGTTGCACGGTATTTTGCACCACCATGAAGAATAGTTCTACCAAAGTAATGGCCACGGGTTCCCATGGAAAACGTATAGAATACTGAAGAAAGCTGGAGCTGCATTGTTATGAATTCCCATATAGCATTCAGGAATCCATGCTCAAGCGAATTTTCCACAACCATTGGCAAGGCAGTAAACAGACCAAGTTGGATGATAAACTGCTGGTTCAAGATTGTGGCAAGTGCTTTATTGTCATTAGCATTATCTGCTGTCGCAGAACTCTCTATTCCACTCAATGCAAGATAAAGCCGGCCCCACAAAAATGCATATACAGTGAGGACAATGATCATTGTATTGAAGAAAAAGCCCACAGTAGTGTAGAAGAACGAGAGCATTCTAAAGAAATCCAGCCTATTGCCCAACCTGTAGACATCTCGGCTAAGAATTTGCTCACCATTCCCACTGGCAACCTTCGCTTCAAACATGGAAATCTGATTGAGCCCAACATCCCTTCCCTTGCCAACTTGGACATATTCATGATGAGTGACATTTCCACCTCTCAATGTGCAATTGAATCCGGCAAAAATATCTTCACTGATGTTAATCACTCTGGAAGCCTTGCTTATCCCTCCCCGAGTCAAAAACCAAAACCTGTCAAACACATCAGGGTGCCCATTATGCATCTGGATTTTTAGAGGATTAGCTAAAACACGTTGACCCAAAGTGACAAAACTTGTTTCCTGTGCAGACATGAACCAAGCAAGTGATGACACAGAACCTGTAAAAATGTGCTCACGGACACCCAAGATAGTAGGTTTCCTGATGCCATAATAGTGTCTGAATTCCTCCAAAAGGTTCCGCATCTTTAGTGCCTCCTCGAAATAGTTATCCTGGTTCATGTCAATAGTCTGAACTGCATCTCCCCTCGTGAAGATAATGGCATGATTCTGATTCTCCGGTTTCCCCTCTCCAAGCTTCAATGGGCCAGGCAACTTGACCCGATAGATCTCAACTTCTCTTTCCAACTTCTGGTCATACTTCACCAGAACAGAGTAATACTCTTTCTCATCCCTCGCAGACGACACCTCATCAACATAGGCAACACGAAGAGCTTCGTTATTCTTCATAAGATTAAAAATCTCCTCGGCATGGGGATCCTTTTTGGCCTTCTGTGAACCATAAATCTGACATGCAACAACATAAGTAAATTTCATCAACGCAGTCCCAGGTTCGTGGCCTTTGAACAGCAAACTGACAGAATTTACTCTGTTCAAACTTCTTGAGGAGGGTGACTTCGCTGAGTTCAAACCATCCATGCCATCATTACGCCTCATGGAACCAAGTTGCATTGATCCTTCCCTTATGTCCATCTCAGATGCAGAATCCAGAAAAGCCAGCACCTCAAGAGCTCGATAGTAGTACATCATTCCTCTCACTGTGCGGGTGAGTGTCTGGCCTCTGTATGATGCCCATAGACGAAGTTCTCTCAACCTAGTTGTCCAAAGTTCTTTTTCACTTGCCATCCCTTCTCTGCGCATCCTCTCCAAGAAGTTCCTCCACTCATCAGCATAGATGGTCTGCAAGTAGTAGAGGGTAGAAATCCCATCTTCGTTCTCAGTTCGGAGTTGTTCCTTGCTGTATAACACTTCTTCATTGTAGTAGGGAGTCAAAACGCTGAAGGCCCTCATTTTCTCTACTTGAGGAGCATGAGGCATGTTCATGAACAATGAATTGCTGAAGAAAGCAATTCGGCGTCTAGCCTCAAGATTTTCTGGAACTCTGTGCATGGAATCCCGTGATGTAAGAATGGTATGCAACCGCCGTACCCGACGATAGAAATTCTCATTATCTGAACTTGGCAACTCAACAACATTCTCAAAAAGCAATCCAGCACTGGAAACTGTCCTTCGAGGAGCCAGACCATCCTCCTCCAGCTGGTCGTTGCTTCTCTGCTCTTTAAGGAAATCTCTAATAGCAGCCTCATAAAGGGCCTGCAGAGCATTCACCACCTTGTCAACATCTATATTAGGCTTGAGTAATAAATTGAGGAGATGGACCAACTTCTCATGCATCTTGTGGAGTGCAGTCATGTTGTAGTATTTAGTGAATTTCTCCAGCTGAACCCACTGATCAATTTCTTGAAAGAAGGTTCTGACAATGGTATACTCCTCAGAGTCATATTTGACAATTGCAAGTAAGAACTGCCTCAAACTATCGTAAGCTTCAATAACCGCACATCGCCTGTACTCATTCTTGCAGATCTCATACCAAAGCCACCTGTCAGGAGCATCAACCAACTCTTTTGCCTGACTGAGAGCAAGCAGCAGTTCATTACAGAGCAGCAAACATGGCCACTGAATCACATGAATTTCCCAGTTACTTTTAGGGTCTGCACGGTCATTTTGAGGCAGCTCAAGTAGCTCAACTTCACGGTCACAGAGAATGTCTTCCTCCCGGAATGTCATAATTATTTCATTCCATATCAAGGCAAATTTATAGGCCTCCACCTGATTTGAGTCGAGTTTTTTAAAGGGACGGCCAAGCCCATACCTCAGCTTCAACCGGCGGATGGCATCCTTGATCTTACTCCTAAATGTTCCCCTAGCATTCAGAAGCTGCTCCTCGGGCATCAGATTAAACTGAATAGCACTAGCAAAGAACTGAAACCTCAACCTCAACTGCTGCATATTCCGGATCTCACCCAAGTGATCAAACAACCCAACCCCAGCACCAACAAGTGAAGAGTAAATTGCATACCAAATCTGCAGATCCATGAGGTAAATCAAAACAACTGGAAGCCACAATAGCCCCACTGCAAACCGATTGCTGTGGTCAAAGAACTCGTGCCATTCATAATTAACATCCTTCAGATCCAATAATGTCTTAGTGGGAGCAATCATGGGCTTAATTTGCATGAAGTAACTGAAGGTGAATTTTGTTGCAAGCACAACCACCCAGAACAGTGAATACTTAATATTGTCTACAAGACCTTCCCTAAGCCCCCTACCCACAAAAGTCCTGCTTTGAAACCACCATGACAACAAATAAAAGATCTTCCAATTCGTATTCTCCAGAAAGTTCCTAATCCATGGCAGGACAAATAAAGCCAGGGCCAGAATTTCTGGAGCAAGAAAAGCCAATGCAACCTCAAGAAAATTCACAACTCTCCTATTGGCAGAGCGAGACCAAGATCGATCCTGATTCCTCTGGCTCCAAATCCTTCCGTAGAACACCCCGAACACCAAAATCCAAGCAGCTGCAACCACACATTTTAAGAACATCCTCACCCCCAATGACTTTGTCTCCCTCGAAACCAAACTATATTGCATTCCAGCATCCAACAACGACTGCAAGAACCTCAGTGTGCTCCAAGTGATAAATACAGTCAAGCATTTGACCTGAACCTCCCTATTCTCCAATGCCTGCCACGGATACTCTCTCCTCTCCCATGCCACAAATATCGAAGCCTGAAGAAATAGAATCAACATAATCCACAACTTATCGAAACTCCTAAACAAATTCCAAAATGACCTCGTCTCAACAAACCCTGTCTTTCCCACTTTCTTCCCCATCCCTGTAACAAAAAAATTACTCCCAACATCAATCGGCCATTTCAGCTTCTCAAAACACCTCTTACTCCAAAAATACTCGTTTATATCATCATAATTCCGCCAAGCGGAGTGCGGTGCAGTGCCATTCCTACTATTATCCACCTCAGCTTTAATAGTATCATATATAGGCTTCACAACTTTATTTAAAAACGCATTTTCTCCAGAAAAAGATGGCAAAAATGGCCTCCCGGTGTTCTCATCGATATAATCCTCCAGTATCTTATTCAATTCCATAGCCATGTTATGAAAAATATAACAAATACATTCCGGAACAAAGCGTATATTCGCCGACTCGCCCCAAATAAGTAAATAAAGAGACACGTATAAAAGCTCGCGGCGGTGATCTGAGGAGGAGTGGCGTGAATGGGAGTCCGAAAGCCAGATGTTGGACTTGAGGTTAAGGTAAGAGCACCAACTGGAGTAGTTCTTCAGGAGGTGGCGGCGGAAGCGCCGGAGAACAGATGGATCGAGAGTATCAATGCTATCCGGAGGAGGAGAGAGCCGCATCTGAGCATTAGACAGATGAAGAACTATGTGTTCCCGCTGGTTCCTTACATTGGAGGATTGAAACCCAAAGAACAGTGCAAGCCAGTCGAGAAGGTCGTACTGGGGCTGCCATAGGGAGAAAGGCGGCCGCCGGAGGTCCCCAACAGCACGGAGAGAGGCAGCAGCGGCTCGAACCTCCGGATAACGGAGGGAGGGGTGGTCGTCTAGCAAATTGTGAATCGGAATTATGTTGTACACATCTTCTGCGTCTGAGTATTGCAGTGGTGGACCGGAATGCCCCGACAGCGGCGCTGTCCGTTGACGGTGGTTGTTACTCATGGTATTTACAGAGATCCGTGGATTTGATAGATTCTTTGGATGCCAATGGAGTGGGGTCTGGGATAGGGTAGGGTATGGTATGGGGTGTGTAAGGTTTTGTGACTGGTTTTTAGGGAAGAAAGGAGAAGTTTTCAAATGA